TATATATATATATATATATATTATTTAAGTTATTTGAAATATTGGATTGTACAAACATTTACTATGTACAAATAGTACGTCTTCATAGTTGAATTTTCTTCAACAGATTGACATTTAATATTAATTTAAAATTTATTTTATTTTTAATATCAAATAATTATATGTAAGCTTATAATAATTTACGTTTGCTTGTGGTGCTTAAATATTCATTTTAAATTAAAATTTTATGCAGCATAATTTATACATTATTCAATTTTAATTATTGTAAAATTATTAACTAAACTATATATGTAATATTCAGAAGAATATTAGAATAAAAATTGGAATATTAATTTCTTAATTTAAATAAAAGAACAATTATATAATTAATTTAAATTTTCTAATTTTATGTTATAAATATTTTAAATTATTATCATAAGAAGAATAATTTCGATCGTCGAATCAATAGTTCTTATCTATCCTATTATATAGGCTAAATATAATGTTGTTTTCGCCGAAGGTCTCAAATGTTAGAAATTTCATGAAACAGTAAGGATTATTTTTATCAATATGCAAATGTATCTAATTGTCTAGTGTATTAATTCATTAAAAAAAAAAAAAAAGAAGTACATATGACGTTATTGGATGGAAACTTTTGAAATTGTAAAATTTCCCTAAAATATATTTTATCTTATGTATCCAATAATATTATAATTTATTTTATTAGTTTTTAAATTTTCACACACACACACACACACACACACGCGCGCGCGCGCGCGCACTTATGTATATGTATGAATGTATACTATAATTTTGTGTCATAATAAGAAATTTACAAAAATATTATTGTTACTCATAAAATTACGTCACAGATGTTTATATCAATAGTTTTGGACAAATTAAAAATTTATAAGCATAGACATTAGAAACATTAACATTGGAATTTATTATAATTACGGTCTTATAATCTTCACAAGAGCTCGAGAAATATTTATTAATACTTTATAAGTAAGCATTGAAAATTATGAGCATTGTTAGATTTATTACTGGTCAAATAAAACATTATAATAAAATATATATTTTATAGTAAAATTGGTTGAATATTCATTTATAAAAAAAAAAACTCACGTAGGTCACTATCGCAGGCGGCATTGAAGAACTGCACAATATTCTTTCAGGAATGGGAATTCTTTTCCTTTGGACTTTTTTAATAACTAGTTCACATTGATTATTTGGTATGATTTTTAAAGCAACGGTTTCCATCAATATAGGAAGTATAAAAGTATTCGAACTACCCCAACCCGATGATATTACATTACTTCCAAATATTTCAAAAGATTTAAGATTTGAAATAGGCACTGGTTGGATATTATTAGGCACCTCTTCTGTTAACTAGAGATAATATTTTATTATTCACTTGAGATAAATAATGGATGAATATTCACTAAAGTACAAATTAACGAGGAATTTATTTAATATATACTCATATATTTCATTATGATATCCAAATTTTCTATTAATAGAATGAATAGTAAATTAGTAGAATATATGATATTAAATAATAAAATAATGTACTTCAGAGATGTATGAAAATTTTATCTTTTTTGTTCTATTATTGTCATATCTATCATTAATTTATATTAAATGAGTATATTACTTTGCTACGGTGAAAAAAAAATTCTTTAAAGCGTATTTAAAGTATATAGTTTATAAGCTTAAGATATGATCTCTTTAAAATCTTGATATTTTGCATTTTTAATATCATACTTAAATTTACAATAAAGTTATTTATCCGAACGAAATAAATCTATGATAGTTTTATTAAAATTGTCCAATAACATTCTAATAATATATATATATATATATATATATATATATATTTAAAAACTACAATATAATAATAAATATATATTGAATATATTAATTCTTATTATTATACATATCGGTATATTATATAAATTAATAATTTATTTACCTGTAAAACAGCAACATCATGTTTCTCAAATTCATCCTTTGAAGTCAATACTTTAAGCCATTGATTATACGACAACCAATGGAATATTCGATATCTTTTTCCCAATCTTACGTCAATCGATCCGACAATTACCCGAACATTAGTCAATTCTTTCTCTAATAAGCAATGTTCAGCAGTTATAACAACTTTATTTGAAATTAGTGTTCCCGTACAAAAATGATTTACTTCCAATACATTATTCTCATCCTCAATCACTTTTGATAAAGATACAACAAATGGAAATTCATTGTCCTTGACATTTCTTACATTAATTCCAAGTAGCGCATTAATAATATTACATTGATATCCTATGAAAATTAAAATTTATATTATTATTATTTATTATTATTAGTATTATTTTCATTATTATTAGAATTATTGTTATATTTATTTACCAAAGAATATGATGAACTGTCCAAAAAAGATTGTAATTCGTAAATTCATGCTGTAGATTTAAATATTAAAATAGATTTAATTAGCCAATTAAATCTTAATACAATAATTGGCAGTGATAAATCGGTTTTTTTTTGGAAAAAATGCTAGATAAAGTATGATTTTTTTTAAAATGCAAAATCAATATTTAATTTTACTAAGCCATTCTTTAAATAAATGTACTCATTCTGATAATGGGAATGTTGATTTTCCTAAATCTAAATAAATAATGATGACATAAATTTATACCCAAATGTAGAAAAATATATAACTAATAAATTTTTAAGTATTTTACTGATATGGATGTATATATCCTAATCTGTACGTATGTGTCTATATGAAACACATATTCAGTAAAATAAATTTTTATACATATGTATAAAAATTTATTTGAGAAACTAATTGTCAGTAACTTTGATTAACTTGCATTTATATATTATTTTACATAGTATTGTATATTACATATATTATATATTATTTTATATAGTATTTATTAAGGGACTGAAAAATATAATTACAGAAGAAATCTTCGATAAATTGTATTATAAATCATTTTATAATAAATACATATAAAATGATATATTATGAAAAAATATAAGCTTCAGTGCATAGAATATATGAAGATCTATGATGAATAATTCTTTTTCAATTTATATTTGAAATAAAATTTTATTTGCATGCAATAATTTACAAATAATTATTTGTTCTTAACTAATTAAAATTTTAAACCTTTGACTTCAATATTCGTATTATTTAGTGCTATTGAATAAAATTAATAAAAAAACAGATTTTAATATTATTCACAATATGAGTATAATAATATCGATACTTTTTCAATATTGTATAAAAGAGAAATATATTACCTTTACTTAATGTTTTAGATTCATTAATATTTCGTTACTGAAAAATAAATGGAATTAAATCTTCCATCGAAATATTTAATTATTGTTCTTACATGATTATATATTAGATTAAATTTTCTTATAATCTTTCACTAATAATGACAATAAAATGTTGATAATATCAGTATATTAATAACAAAATACTCAGATTTAGAAAAAATACTAATGATTGAGAGTAGCGTGAATAAAAGTGTGAATTAACAAAATTTTTTGTATAATGCATAAAATTTTACTATTTCCAATTCATTTATAGCTTGTAATATGCTCATCGACTTTTTTTTCTATGGGTTATATCATCATTGATAACACCTGTAATACATCGAAATGTTATTACGCACGTAATTTAAATATTCCACATAGAAACCGTTTCACAATTTTAGAATTTGTAATGTGTTTATATTAAATTTTCTAGATTACTTCTATCTGTACACACACACACACACACACACACATTGACATATGCATAAATTCTCAACATTATGTACGCATCATACACACACAGTTTTATATATAAGCATAGTATACAATATGAATACATATGATATAAATTCATAGAATTAAATGTGATTATGATTTTAAAATGATTGATAATCCGATTCATTAGGTAAATCGAAATGTCAATGAACAAATCTGTATAGATGCCATATAAACATATTACATATAAGGATATTATATAGCCCTTATCTATCATAAAGAGAAATAATTAATAAAATAACGTAATTATTAATTGTAAAGTCTTGACTTAAAAAATTAATCATTTGAAAAAAAATTATACAAATGTTTATTAAATAACTAAGTATATAATTTATCAGATAAATGTTTTTCACATAAGGTTATACGAATGCATAAATTCATGAAAATTTAATTAATTTATTGTGTAACCAAGTATAACAAAAAAATTACGAAATTTAAATTCTTGTTATCTAAATAAACAACTTTGCTAAAAAACATGAGTCAATAGAATAATGAAATGTACACACTATAATACAATAATACCTTACAACACTTAAATAATGCAATACTCTCAAGAATTATATTATTTAAACCCGTCTAGTTATTTTATAATTTTTTTTATTCACTAAAAATTGAGCTTAAAGATGTCTTGCAATTAATAAAAGAATAACAAAATAATATTTATACGAAACTAAAATGAAATTGAGTAAAAAATCAATAGCAAACTCAAAGTTTTTTTAATACTCATTGATTCTGCGAATTTTTATATAGAAATATAGTTAAAATTAATTATTAATTAATTGCCATTCACAGTATTAAATTTAAAATACAATATAAGATCGCAGAACTTCATTGTAAATTATGTGCATATTGGAAAATAGTTTTTCATGACTTACAGTTCAAAATATTTGCTTTTTCTTTTTATGCGGCAATGTCACGTTTATTGAGATGATGATTATTTTCACTCTTCCTCTTAGCTGGTTTTCAGAATTTTTCTTGTTCTTTCAATATCAAGAGTATTGATTTTTGAAATTTAATGTTATAGTTTAGAAGCACAGATGATTTGTCAGATAATAATATAACGATAACGTCAACATCATTATAAATTTCAGAAATAGATTGTTCTATTTCAAAATTAAAAAAAATAGATTTAAGTTCTATATGTCTATGTCTATATATATATCTATATGTCTATATATCCTATATATATATATATATATATATATAGGTGTTTAAATGAAAATTCAATAAATTCAAACTATTCTTGTACGAAGTCTTTCCTTACCTCTTGTTGCTCACTTTTGTTAATAAATTTACACATCATATGCTTATATAATAATACAAAATACTACTGATATAAAAATATTATTAATTTTATGCTCAATATTTCTTTTTGATCTTATTGAATATTAATAGAAATATGCGAAGCAACAATTAAATATAAATGATTTTAAACTATTATATTAAAAACAATAAAATCATTATAGAATTATTAATTAACTATCGCTTCGATAGTAAATTAATAAATTAGAAAAATACGCTTCCTATTTTTATATAAATATATAATAATAAATTAATTTGATTAAAAATAAATTAAATATAATAATAAGTAAATTAATAATAAATAAAATAATATATAAATAATATATAATTATTTTTTATTGTGTATAAATTATGAAATTGTAATAATTTAAAGTTTATTTAATCGAATAAATTTTTTGTAGAAATTTACACTGAAATGAACGTTTAATTTCTCCGGATGTACATAAATTTGAGGAAATGGACATGTACCAGAACTAACGGCCAAAATTTGATTTCTAAATAATAACGGACCACCACTGTCTCCCTGAAACATGACAATAAGTATGCATGAATAAACACACACATACACGCCCCGAGATATACGTACGCACATAATAATTATTTTATGTAAATTCAAAATACATATATAAGTTTTTATCATTTAATAAGAAAATAAACCTTTTTATGAACAATCTATAAAAATGAATTTTAACATAAAATTATAATACTTAAATAATTAAATGTTTAACTCGATTAGATTAGATTTTATTTTTCAAAATCTACGTAATTAAAAATATTGAATAATGTATGCATTTGTGTGTATGTATATATATTTATATATATATATATATATAATTGAACTATGGATAAGGAATAGTTGTTGCTTATATTTTGCATTCATACTATTATAGAACTTCTTTTAATAAATCTTGAAACACATTTGCTAATATTCAAATAGTTTTTTTTTTTTTTTTATTATATTTATTTAAATATAAATTCAGAATTAAACTGGTATTAGCAAAGTGTTCGCGGATGAATTTAAGATTGAATTTTTTATAAGACATTTTTGTAACATTATTATGCATTATAATAATATTTAATAACTCACATTCTCATCAATACAAGCAGATATAAACTATTATTTGTAGCTATTAATATTTTAAAAAATTTTAAAGCTAATGTAATGCTGAAGAATATTTTAAATTTTAATACGTACATCGTGTAGTATTGCGTAAGGAACATAACCAGTGCACACCATTCTCTTATCAAATATAATCTCGTCTCCTGAAAGATTCGTTGCTCTTCGACTACATTCTTCATTTGGTAAAATGAGCAAATTTGCTACATGGAGCATTGCAGGTGTTGTGTTATTAATTGTTTGACCCCATCCAACTGCTACGGCATTCAATCCAAATAAATTCGTATGTTGAATCGTAGAAATTACTGCTGGTTTAATTTCAGAAGATACTTTTTCGGATAACTGAAAACAATCATTTCTTGTATTAGCACTGGCACAGATTTATCATTTATCATTTTCTTTCTCATACTTTAACCGAATAATAAGCTCAATCCGATAATGAACGACTAATCCGAATGAATCAATCCGAACTTGAACGATCTCTAATTGTTGGACTACTCATTGCCCGATAATTATTTATTTATAATATATTTTCTATTTTTATAAAATCTTCTCGACCATCATTTACTACATGGAGACTCTTTCCGATAAGTAAATTTATTAGCTTATTATATCTATGACCTATATGAGCTAATAAACCTTCATACGTAGCATCAGTTAAAATTGAAATTGAAGCTAAAATTTAGATGCAAAAACCGTTCTATATTCAATGGTTATTACAATTGCAGATACGAGAGGACGATAAAATGGATTTCTCTTCCTTGTGAAAATAATTGTAAAATCGAAATTTCTTACGGCTACCAGTTTCGTTGCACCAAAAGTCGAATAAATAAAAAAGGAGCTTGAAAGTGAAAAATTCTGGGCTAATCAGAGACAATCGAATAACGCGAGTTGGTTCGATAAAGATATTTGATTGCAAGAGAAATAATTATATTTTGCTTCGTTTAGACGATAGTAAATCCAAATCTGACATAAGATTATTCTCGCTACATAAACAAGTTAATTTACTAGATTTTCGCACGTTAATTCTCTCTTTCTCTCTCTCTCTCTCTCTCTTCGATTCTCCTTCTTTTGGATAATCTCGCTCTTTCTATCAAGCTCTTGTCCTTCCCTCTCATCCTTTCTTTCTCTTTCAATACTTCTACACTCAGACTTGACTTGCTCTGTTAATTTGATAAGATTTTATACAACAGGCGTTGTTTCTCGTTTTCCTCTAATCCGATGGGAAATAGCCCGTTGGTCGAATGATAAGGATCAACCTGTCTTGTCGATTTCGGCCATGGCTTACACGATGTCCATTATTTTAAACTAATTTTCGTACCATCGATCGTCTCTACCAGATGACGTATCGACAAAATCCCACGCCTACGTTACATTAAATTGTCATATTTATTCTATATTATATTTAATAGTATATATTAAAATTAGAATTAATTATACAATTGGCCGGCTTTATTTCCCCGTTAGAAGTTACGTAAATGAATGGATTTGCCAAGCATTATAAAAGGAAATGTATAAAAGAATAATCAACCTTTATCATAGCAATGTCATTCATTGAAAAACGTCTATGAAAACGCTGCTTTTTGGCCCAATTGTTATACGTTATCCACGTTAAGGGTATGTATATTGCACCTTCGTATAGATTATGGGAGCCAATGATTATACGTGTAGAATTTATATTCTCGCCTGATAAGCAATGTGCGGCGCTCAGAACATGCTGTTTTGAAATCAGGGTTCCTGTGCAAAAGGTGTTACGCTCCAGTAAAGGACTTGCAGTATTGATACGAGTTAAGGCGGCAACAAATAAAAATTCTCGTTCAGTCGCCTGTCTAACATTTTGACCCACTAATGTTTTGCCAGTTACAAAATTTAATTGTCCATCTAAAACATAAACGCGTATGACATTATCATTATACTGACAGTTGGTTCAAAATTAATTCATTTCGTGCTTATAATAAGTTAAAAAATTTTAAATACTTTTTATTACTTACAAAATAATACGTATTGACAAAGAAACAAATTAACTTCAAAATGCATCCTAAAAGAATAATGTTACAATAAATAGTTATAAAAGTAAGTGGGAAAATGTTCGTCTCGTTAATTTCATTTTCATTTTGTAATAGATGATCTCTTTGTCAACGATTGAGAAAATTGTATTATACAATCTTAAGAAAAAATTCAATCGCATTTTGTCGCTTTAATTGTCATTTTATTTTATTATTATTGTACTATCTTTAAAATACAATAAAAATAATCATCAAATCCGTTGAATTATTAAATAATTAGTTATTAATCGTAAATGACTTACGATCCAAGGACTCTTACAGAAACAATTAAATGTTCTGTGAGTAGAAGTTTCTGAACCTTTAATAGTAATAAAATCGAGTATATTATTATGATTATCTTAATTTTTTCTTTTTTTTTTTTTGTATTTTATCATAGAAATATAAAATCAATTTATAATTACCGACATAATTAACAGTATAAAAAAATTTCATAACAATCGTGTAAATAGCCTAAATCTAAATAATCATTGACTCAGAGTAAATCGCTAGTGATAAGAACGTATTCATCGCAGCTATATAGAATCAAAATTTTGGTAACGATTTTGATTCTTCGATTGTGTAATTATGATTATTAATTACTTTAAATAAGCAACAGCGATCCAAAAAAATTATTGAACGATATTTTTTAAAAAAAAAACTTCAATGTTCAGTATATAGTATTTAACAAAAAACTTTCTACTTGAACGTATACTATTGCTATAACAAAATTTAAAGATTTTATTCGCCTACCGTTACCTCATTAGCTCAATATTTATAATATAATGTAGCTTTTAGAATTTTTCAAATATTATATAATTCCTAGGAAAGAAAAGATTTATAAAAAAAAAAAAAAAAATAACAATACTATTGTAATACTAATCATATGTGAGTTTTAAAAATCAATTTATATGTCAACACATATATTTAAATATTGCAAAAATTTTATTGAAAATAATATAAAGAACATTTAGAGTTATGAGAATTACAGTTGATGCAGTAATTATTTGTAATTTTTATTGGTATATTTTTTTGTAAGGAATTAAAAACTTAACCATGCAAAAGGATGGATAATGGAAATATTAACTTTCAATCGAAATACAATTAAAATATTAAAATATATTAAAATTAACACCAAGAACAAATAAAGAATAATAAAGAAAAATAAATGAGAAATTTCTGGAATTTCTTAAATTTGAAAATAATCCTATAAGACTAAATTGTAAAATTTTAATAATTTAAAAGGCCTGTCATGTTTTATCATGAACTTTCACATTTTACGATAAACTTGGAATTGCATACTTACAATTTACTAGAAATGAATAATTATAAAGCTAAACAAACTTTAAATATAATAATTTAGTAGCTTCTCGTTGTCACCAAATTCAGTATTAACACATATATGTATTATAATTTTGAATGGTAAAAGTCTTTTTTTAATAATTACTAAAAAATTAAATAAATAAATATAAAATAACATTTCTAGATAACATGGTTTAATAGATCAACAGCATTTATTACTAAAACATGACGGTCCTTGATTTCTTTATTTTTTAACCTTTAAAAAATATTTCTAAATTTTTATGTTTATATTTTTTTGAGAAATTTTTTATATTACAGTACGTTAATTTATAATTTAATCATTTTTAATAAATTTGTGTTCTAATTTATTAATTACGAACATCGTGTTTTTGAAAAAAATAAAAAAATTAGCAATTTATAAATATATATTTGTAAGTTGTATGGTTAACGCATTTTAATAATATAAAAGCTTAATATTTAATGACATTTATAAGCAATTTATATAATAAATTAAAATGTTTATTATGCTAAAAATATGAAACATGAACATTTAGAATGATATTCTATAACAGATTCATTTTAAAAGGAAATATCGAACATATTACGCGTTTACGGAAAGTGTTAGAGTAGCTGATAATATTTTAAGATTGATTTAAAGTGATAAAATCATTACCTGTATTTTATTGTTCTTATTCAAGCTTAATGCTATTTTAAAACGAAAAAACTTGTAATATTGTTTCTTAAGCTATTTATATAGTCAACGGTATCGCCGAATCTATTATATTTATACTATTTTTTCTTTGATAATGCAAAATTCTAATTTAAACTAGTTATAAAAAAAAGACCCTTAATATATCGAATATAAATGTAAAAAATTTTATTGTCGCTAAATGGCATTTAGCAAAGCATTGAAAATAATACTCTTACTACGTGTAATCAGAAAAATATGAATTTCATAGGCACCTAATTAATTATATGCATATATATGTAAATTCAAAAATTACATATTTGTATTGTAAGTTACTGCTACGTCATTTCAAATAACAATTAAACTTGAATTACAAAATGATATAAAACGTTACAATGCGAATATCAGTATATTCATAAACATCTATAATTGAATTCAATATCAGATGAATAATATAATAATTGTGTATTTGAAATTATCCGCTTCTTTTATTTAACATAAATTTTTATTTAATCAATTATTCTATATTATATTATAAATTATATATTAAATACTCTATATTAATTATATTACATTAATTCAAATAATACAATTTCAATATTTGCTAAAAATTATTTTATTTAAATTAAATTGGAAATATTAATACTTCTTTATAAATTAACATAAAACGATTAAATATAATGAACTAAAATTCTTATTAAGTAAATTCAAAAATATTACACATATATAGTAATACATAATTATAATGGCAACTACAATAAATATAAATTATAAATTACGGGTTATAAAAATTGTATAAAATGATTTCTAAATCAATTATCTTTTCTTGTAATTACTATACAGCAAAATCTCTAATAATATTACAAAAGCAAATATAATATTATAACAAATAGTAAAATTATAATTAATTACATATCAAAAGTACATATGAATATATAAAAGGAAAATAATTTCACAATTAAATTACTTTAAAAATTGGATGGGAATAAGTGAAAAATGATGAAAACAAAAAAATGTATCATTAAATGAAGTTAGGAGTAGAATTTATTGAAATATTAGAATCCTTAAAACGGATGTTTAAAGCAAATATCGGAAATCTTATGAATAAATATCATATTGTAATTTAAAATCATACCGAATCATTTATTTAGACATATAAAACATAATAATTTACAAATATGATAATTTTATACTATTTATTATATAAATAAAATATTTTATTAAAGTAAAACTGATAAGATGTATTTTGTGTTGAATTAACCTTCCATTATATTTTTTAATTCATTTATTATTTATTTTAGACTTAACATTTTTTAGAACCAATGATATCCAAGATTTATACTAGATTACTATTAATTATTTATTTTAGATTACAAAATAATATTTAAATTCATTATTATTAAGAACGTTATATTAAAACGATGTAACGTCTACCTGATTCAAATAATTCATAATTTATATGAAAATAAGTGATAAGTTAATATGTTACGTTTTTATAATAATAATTTTGTATTAACAGTTTTGGAATTATCTAAATACAAAAAATCTTTCATAAAGTAAGTATGAATTAAATTTCAACTATTAAAATCTTGTAAGTTTTCATTTTTAATAAATCCTCTTAGAAAATTATATTTAAAACAATTATTTTATATATTTTAAAAATTCTCTCAATTGATTACTAGAAATTTCTTAGTTTATTTTACGTTCATTCATGCAATTTTCAACCTAAAAACAATAATTTCGGTCGATTTACAAGTTAAATATATAATGATTCTTCAGATTTTATTAAATTTTATTTACATTGTGCAATTCTTTATGTAATATTCTTTCTTCTTTATTTTGTGTAATTAGTGATATTAATTTAAAGCTTTGAAAAAATTTCATAACAAAGTTATTTGGATATATTTTGAGAAAACTATTGTATTTTAAACGGCAAAATTGAAATGATTAAAATCAATTAAATTATAAAATGAGATAAATATGTGATATGAAATCTCAATATTATAATACAAATATATATTTATTATAATTAATACAATTCACTATCACCATAAAATTGAAAAAAAAAAATTAAATAGATTCCTTTTTTATGGTGATTTATAAAGATGTAAAATAATGTTTATATTGCATTAACGACTTATTAAATATTTAATATTATGAATTATTATTATTCTAATGAAGTCTATAGAATATTCTTCTTCTCTTCATTCTGTTCAGCTGCCTAATGGGCTCGGATAGCATTAGCAGTTAAATTTAAACCAAAATTTTCTGCCACTATGTCGAATTGGTAGTATTAAAAGAAGTTTCAAGTTGGATTAACTAGATTAATACTGAAAAATAGATATAAGAACTTATTATACAACATAATTTATAACTACTTTGTTAAAGTATTAGCAATGAATAATATTATTAATGATATGACTAATTCATATCAACATTATTTATATCATCAAATTCATCCGTGTAAAATGAAATTGATATGAACATTATATTTGATAGTTTTGCTCAACTGATTTATTAAATTTATTTTCAATATTATTCACAAATTCTATTGCTTACGTAAATAACTTACTTATTGGAATCCGATCGTCTTTATTCTAATAAGATTATTTTATACGCATATTTTTGTTTCCTTAAACTAAAATGATTAGATGCTCACTTTGGCGTAATTAGTTTCGTATATTGAACCGTGAATTGAGATTGAAAAAAGTTTTTCAATAAAGAATAATTTAGACAAGAACGAATATTGTATTAATATTTAAACATGGATACAGGATAGAAAAATGTAAGGCATTTGTGCGAGATGGTTTGGTTGTTAAATCAATACACTGGCGAACGTGGCTGCATTATAAAAATTAATTTAAATAAATAGTTCTGATCTTCAGCGCTAAGTTCCACGCTTCTTCGGGCATACCACTCATCGTTTATTGTCGTGAATAAGTACAAGATAGAAAGAGAGAAAGAATGAAAAAGGATAAATGATCATTGGATACACTCTAGAGAATACGAATACTTGCGATTTAATCATAAAATGAACGATACAGCAACTTTTCACGCTCGGAATATCTATCGATGTTACCATATTATCAACGCTATATACAACCAACACTATACAATCGTGGCAATAAGCAGCAGGAGAGCGTTAAGGTACCGAAGAGTAGAAACTCATTGCGAGCTCGATTGACCCGCAGATGTTGAAAAGTATTGTTTTTAAAACGTTACGTTAATATACTAACAAATTATGTTCTGGCGATAGCTAAGGATGGCAGTTGTTAGACATAGATTTGGGTGTGGTATTTTGATAATTGCCATGGAATTAGTGTTTGAAGTTGGACCCATCATTGACCATTGGGAACGCTAGGTTGATTGGGAATTACGCGTGCTTTCACCGGTACTTTCCAAACTTTGTGAAAAATAGCAACTTTTTAAACTTCATATAAAATGATTCGTTTTCCACGATCCAGCAAACTCCAATGTCATTTGTTTTATTTTGCTTGCTACGATGTTTTATATTTACCGTACTATGACTTATTTAACAATAAAGCGCATGTCCAATGGAAATACACATTAATGTTTTCAATCTTATTAAATATCTATAAGGCAAGCGAGTGTTCTATTCTAACTGCTTAAACTACAATTCTAAAAATTATTACAAGTCTGAGAAATATTTGGTATTGTAATAAAACTGAAGTACTAGAGAATAAGTCTTTTTACTTGTTGAACAGGTTTATTTTTAGGCAAAGGATTTACATGTAAAGTAGGTAGGTGCTTCAAATATTTTTCCAAACACACAATCACCATTCGATTCTGATTATACTTCCCGTGAAAATCTTTGAATTTATATATTACATTTACTATTCGATTTTACATACTAGCGAGAACAATGAAAGTTTTATTGCTTCAAAACTTTGGCGAGTCTATTTCCCATAATAAATAATAAATTTAATTACTCGAATAATAGCTATTATACCAATTTCAAATAGCTTTAATTTAATTTATTATATACTCAATAATTTTTTGTGTCTTCTCGAGCTATGTTATGCGCTTGATTAAGTTGTAGAAAAAAAAAAATGATTTATAATATATGTAAAAAATAACTAAAATGTACATTCAATGTTCAGTCAACGCAATTATATAGAATTTTCATTAAAAATATTTTTACCATGTGAATGTTTACATTGTGTTAATATAATATAATTTGATGCATTCAAGTATAAAATAATATAAAATTAAAGTTTCAGAATATGCGAGTGAGACTTATAATATGATATAAAAAAAAAAAAATTAAAATCTTTAATCTATTTCAAATAACCAATTAATAGTACATTTAACAATAAAAGCAGGATGATAAAATACAAATTAAATTACATTAAAAAATAGAATACCGTTGTTGTTGACGTTGGTTCTATTAAATGCCGTTAAAAAATTGTTATAAAAAATATTTAGCATATATTTGCCTAACTAATGCAAAACTTAACCGACTCAATCACATTAAATTCAAATATTACGATTGCAATAAGATATAAAAGTTATGTACTACACAGACACGGATAAAAATACTTTATGTAAAGTATTTGTCGGGTTTAAATAATTTTAATTTATGTCATTACTATGTTATCATATACCAATTTAAAGATAAAAATAATATTTAAAACTATAGATTTATTTTATAACAAATACTACTAATTGTAATAAAATTTTAATACTAAAGCAACAAAAGTAGTAATCACTTTTATATTGATAATTTATAATGATGTAATTACGTCGTTTATTATGTACTGATCTCAAGTTTCTTTGATTTTTTGATACATCGTATAATAATTTATAATTGTCGAATACATCAGAGCTGCAACAAGTTTAGCAATAATTTTAAAAAGAAAATGTCAAAATATTCAATTATCCGTATAGTGCAATAATTAACTCTTATCATAAAAAGATCGATGGAGGTGCAGCGAGACACAGAACAATTGCATGTTCCCGCTTTCTGCATACCGATGTGGACAAATTATTTATAAACGAATTTGAAGATAAAATTTTGCTATTTGACACTAATGGCTATTTTTATTATTGTTAGGAAATTTTCATGAAATTCTAACTCTGTTAATATAACAATAATATTTTTATTTTAATCCGCACATTGATAAATGTAGAATAACGTAAGGCAAAATATAAGATAACCGCGAATATATAATGACTTAATAAGTTCTAAATCACTTTTAATTAAATATTAATTATTACGCGTATTCATCACATGTAAAATAAATATCCTATAATGATTAATATTAAAATGAATATTTATTTTTTTTGGATGTGTAGGTTGAGTTGGTAATGGAGCCGTTCCGATATTAACACCAATAATCATATCATTGTATAACAAAGGACCACCACTGTCACCCTGAAAAATAAGATAATTATTTGAAAAAATATTCTATTATGTTTGCTCTTTTTTTTTTTTTTTTTTTTTTTTTTTTTTTTTTTTTTTTTTTTTTTTTTTTTCCAGAAACTGATGAATTTAAAATTAACTATTTATATATTGGTGCATTTGGCGATATGTTGTATATTATTATATAATGAATATTCTCATAAATATAATAAATTCAGTTTTAAAATTACAAATCGCAATTTCATATTAAGAATTTATTGATTTGTCTGTAAAAATAGACAACTTATTACGCATTTGACTATAATCCATTACTTGTCAGTTGTTAAAATTTTGTAAAAGATGTCTTATTAAAAGTAGAAATTTCAAAATTTTTTATGAATAACAAACATTTTTATATCCAGAAGTATTATTAATCATTTTACGCATTAAATAGTGGATTTGCGAGTGATTTAAATTACCGGACTCGGATATTTCCTGCTAATTTATAATTTTTAATACCCGCTAATCGTATTTCTACAATTAAAAGAAATAATTATACTTGACAAAATATCTTTATATTTTACACTCAACTGTATGGCGTATATATTTTAAATTTGTAAAGTAGAAACTTCGTTCTTTTAATAATCCTTATATGTACCTATGATATATAAAATAATGATGATATAAAATTGTTAGAGAATACTTACAAACTGCAATAATGCAAACGGTTCAGAAGCACTGCAAATAATTTCTGGATCCACAAAAAGTTCGTGCCCTAATACATCGAGTACTCGATCATTCACCTCATTATCTGTCAAAATTTTTAGAGTCACTTTCTCCATGACATTATTAAGTGAACCAGTGTTTGATAAACCCCAACCCGCAGTCGTCACGTTTAATCCAAATAAATTTGATTTCGATAGAGTCAAAAGGCCAACTGGTTTGATATTAGCAGGAATTTTTTCAGATAACTGAAAATTATCCAGATCCAAATGATTAGTAGCTGAAAAGTCTCTCTAAGCAAAAAATACTTTACAATTTCTAACTTAATGCTAAAAAATGATTAACGTTTCAAGGATTTATTTATTTATGTATTGCGTTAAAAAATCAAGATACAAAAAATAAAATTTTTATAAATAACTTGATATGAATGAACTTAAATCAATTTATTATAATTTTAAATCAATCAAAATGTTATTTTTATCTTTTATATATTATATATTATATATTATAATTATTATAATTACTTTTTAATGTATTATATACATTTTATTCATTGTACAGAACAACGTAGTTAAAAACAAAATTAAACTAATAATTGAAATGAAATGGTGAATAAAGAATTTTCAAATATGTAATTACTCTCATCACAGCAATATCATCGATTAAATTTTTATGAGAAAAATTGTTCTTCTCAGCCCACTCATTATACATTTTCCACCACAACGGATAGAACTTTAAACCAGCATCTAAATGAATAGATCCAACCATTACTCGAATACTCCATATATGTTGATTTATTAAACAATGTCCAATTGTTATAACATCTCGTTTTGCTATTAGTGTTCCAGTGCATATATGAACAATTGATTCAGTGGGGACAGTAGAAATTTTTACGATAGACACGATATAAGGATATTCATTGTTCCGTACTTGTTTAACATTTTCTCCTATCATGGCTTTCGCATTTGCAATATCAAATTCATTGTCTGACAAATATTAATTATTAATAAAAATACCAATTGGAAATGTGAAAAATTTAAGAGTAAACGAAGTTAAATAATGCAAATAACAATACTTACAAAATATATATTGTATGATAATTATCCAAATATTTATCCACATCCTCCAATGACAGACACTGAGTCTTATGAATTTCGATAATATATAAGCCTCTCAGTTTAATAAAATTTTTGCACATTTCTAAAGAGAAACGTTTAATATTTACATAAATATCCAATACAATTTCCCCTCAATGAGTAATTAAATCTCATAATTATAACGTACTTAAATCTTTATAGATTAATCTATATAAAAATTATAATCTTAACATAAACAAAAATTATTAATTTTGAGAATATTAATAAGAAGCACAATATACTTTACAGATAATTAATATTGTGTGCATATGATTTTTACGCGTGTGTGCGTACATATACGTGCATATACGTATGAACATATTTATATTTATATTTATGCATACAGATGTGTACAGATATTTGTAGAAATACAATGATTGTTGAGAAATTTTTTTATAGTAATTAGCACTGAATTTATAATTTTTTATAATTTAATATAATAAATGTAAACTTAATTATAGCGTAAGTTTTGCATAAAAACATACTAATCATAGTTTTATGTACATTAATCTTTTAAAAGATTTTTAAAATTAAATTGAGCTCGTCTACTTGTCTTTACATTATTACTAAATTAAAATGTCTTAAACAATATAAATACTATATATGTCATAAAAATGAAAATCATTTATAAAGTTTAATAATTTTACCCTTTTACTATAATATAATTCTTCATGTTAAATTAAACCTGATTTTTGCACGTAAATCAAAATGCTAACGTACGAAATAGTTTACACAATTTATTGGATTCCATGTTAACGATCTTTTATTTATGAAATTTAATTCTAATATAAAATGAAAAATGTATTTATCAAGGTATTTTAAATAAAAATTATTCTATGTCTTATCTTAATATAATTTATTATATTATGTTAATTTTATGAATCTTTGTATACACATCTGGAATCATTTCTTTTCTAATAAAATTATTATTATCTTAATAAATGAAACATAATTGTAATTTTTATTTTATGGATTTATGTAATATAATATATATATATATATATATTACAATTGACAAAGTTTTTTAAAAATAAGGATAAAATGGAGGAATACGATTATTTGATACATATAATATTTTTATTTTTAATGACAATGTGTTAATATAGATTATTCATGTATTATGAATAATAAAAATATTATTCACGATACATTATTTTTTTATGTAGAATTCAAATTAAAATCCATTAAAATTATTGTAAAGATATAAAATTGATTGAATTATCATGCATGTTGCAAATGATATTTACAATTTTACAGAGCAAATTATAGAATTGTTAAAAGCTAAGTACGTAAATTGATAATGCGAGACTAAACTTGACCGATTAAACTGAAGTAAATACATAATATTATTTATTGGTAAACTTATTGGATTTCAAGTTATTGTGAAAAATATATATTAATAATGTCTATTATATAATCTTATTAACAAAAATTTGATACTAATTATTTATCTGCGGTTATATTTTTAACAATACCATTTATTACTTAATAATATACCAATGACGTAATTCAAAAAAAAAAAAAAAATCAAGTCGATAAACCTTGAAATTTAAAAAATAAATAAAAGCGTTTAAGTAAATAAATCAATCTTGTAAATTGTAAAAAGGAAAGTATATGATCCGATCGAATTTGCATTAAGGAATTACAAAAGTAGTTACATTTTTTTTTATTATCTAAACAATTTACACGTACCTCATTTTTGCTTTTATTTGATAGTGACAAGGTTTTTTAATCAACTTTTCTGAAGAAATCCTGTTTCACACGCAATCAGTAAATCATGCGCTGCAGTACTGAGTTTTCGTTTCGCAAGTAGTTGGTGATTTCCCTTTTGTAATGTACCATATAGTAATAAAATTTTCTTGGACCTACATTTTAATAAAAAGATATTCCTGCAGTCACTTAAATTTGTAACAATACGATTGTATTCAATATGTTTGTACACATTATTGTAGTAATCATTATATTATACTAGCAATTAATAACAATTTCTGATAATAAATTATTTGTATTTTAATAGTATAAATATATGTAAATACAGAGATCAACGACGTTATATTTTTAATATATATCATCCAACAAGTAATAAGGATTGTTTTAAGCTCTATAAATTCATGGAAATGTCTTTAAAATTAATTTTCTAATTATAATATTTCATAATCTTAAAAACCGCAATAATAAATATAAAAATATTTTCATTAAAATAAACGATATTTTGACAAGTAGTGAAAATACGTACGTCGATGAGTAGAAAATATAAGTAGAAATTATGCTCAAATGTTTTTTGCATCTTTTCGACTGCTTGATCAATGATTATGCACACAAATTAGCTTAATGAACTTTTATAATTTCAGTACTGTATACATTATTATTTATTTCTTACATTTTACTATAACTAATTTTTAGTCCAAAGATATACTGTCATAGTTATATTAAAATTATAGTAAACTAGATCTTCAAAGCACCATTTATATACTTTTTCATTTAATAATGGAAATTAAAAATATTTAAATATACAAATATATTCATATATATTCAATTCAAATAATATATGCGAATATATTAAATATTATGTTACGTTGAGGTCCAATTGTGACACATATAAAACGTATATCTAATATCTTTTATTACTTTATTTTCTAATTCTATATATGTGTGTGAGCGCGCGCGCGCGTGTATATACGTACACATAGAACAGATAAGACCATGTAAAGCAACGAATAATTATTTGTAGATATATATGATCGCTTTATAATATTTTATAACATACCTATATATACATGAATATAAATATAACCATTTCAAATAATCGTACTATTGCTGTGAAACTAAATTATCAGTTGAAAGAAAGGCGCAAAATGACTGAGTTATGTAGCATTAAGTATTTTATTGATTTGAAATATTTTTAGATATATTACTTCGAGTAAATTTATCAATACAGTTGTGTAAACAATAAAGCACAGATAGCATGAACAGTGCAATAAAAAAAAGTATATATATATATATAAACACTTTAGTACGACAATACGTATAATACAGTCTATAATCAAGTATGTAAGCAAATAGTAAAAAAAATGGTCATTACATTTTTTATACAATTTGAATATGAAAAACAAATCTTATAAAAATTTTAAATTCTAACTATAAGATAATTCATAGCCTTATGAAAAGACGAAACTAATTTGATTAGAAATTGATAGAGATAGCTAAATATGAATTATCTATATGTTATTTATTAAATACATATTCTTAAAAATGAAAAATAATATATAGTCTTGTTCCAAAACAATACAAATTACCTCAAATAAAATTATGTTTAATAATAATTATTATGAATGTTATAAACATTGTATAAAAAAAAAAAATATCAAAACTAATTAGTAGGTTAAAAAGCTTGTTCTATTTTTTCTGGAAAAATAAATCATTGTTTGTACCTGCACTCTATAACATTGAAATAAGTATAAAAATTAATATTTATTGAAAAAATAATTAGAATTTTCATATATATATATATATATATATATATATGAATATTATATATTATATAATATCAATATATATATATATATATACATTAGTAAAAGAATCATGATTCACATCGTTGCAATTTCAATATCCATCAAGTGGATTTAAAATATTGATAAACATTAATAATTCATTTTTGAGTCTAATAAAAAGCAATACGAAGCTCCCTTAAGATACATTATATTTTATAAATATTAAAAATTAAAGACAACATTAAATTAAAATATCCCATAAATAGAATCAAATGATAATTGATTGGTTATTTTCATTTCAACCAATCAACATTGTACCAGACAGTTGGTTCATAAGAGACATCAGGAAATCCGACAATGAAAAGAATTTTAAAAAAGTAGTTACCCGGGATCAAATAAAAGTTAAAAAATTAATATTATAAGAAATATTTTGCGCTTACATCGGGCCACTTTACCTCCACCGAAAATACATCCTCCTGCAATATTATCTACTGCTTAAGAGTATCAAGAATAATAAGCTCTTTAACGTGTTTGCACACCCAAAACAATTGTATTTCTGTTTAATGATAATGTCATCGGGAATAATTTACTGTAACATATGATAAGTTATGAGGAGATGCCGCCCCTATGAATTCTTACAATCTGCTTATAAAAAGAGTGAGAACTTTGTCTTTTTTTAACCCGCTAGTCCACTTCGCAGTCATATCTTATTTTAGGGCGTCTACCATTGTCTGCCCACAATTTTTTAACCCTCCGTTTCCAATCCGTGGGTACTTTATGTGGCGTGTTATCACACATCAGCGTTCGTCAAAATAAAGTGCGAGTAAGGCAAACGAATCGATAACAATGCACGCTTAACTGTAATTAAGCAGCGATTATGCTAAAGGGCGCTTCATCAAATACTTAAATATTGACTAATCAGCTGTTTAATTGTAATTAAAACAAATACTTTGTAATTTAACCCCACATAGTGACTAAAATAATTTAAGTCGTGTAACTCGACGCTCAGGCTAAAAGTAATAAATGGCCAATTGCAGAATTACAATTATCGTCTCATAAGAGTTGATCTTGTAAGATTATAGGACGCGAAGAGTATTGTAGCGATGACATACATCTTAGCAGTGTTGGTAAGAAATAAATTTTAAAGGCTACATTCACAATTTGTTAACGTACTAACAAACACGTGCTAGATTCTGGCTGTCAATGATTACGAGACCGACGAAGTATTTAGACACGTGCGAAATCACAAACCATAACAGTGCGAACGAGAAGATAAAAAAAAGTCTAACTGTAAGGTAACTTGGTTACACGTAAAATCACAACGTGAATGCATAAATATTAAAACAAGA